AATTACCAATATTAGCCAATTAGCTATTTGTAGCCAAAAAAGGTCAAAATTTTGCTTTCTTTTAAGTGGGTGTTATTAGAATAGATTGGGTACATCTTAAGGAGCTTGAATATTAGGATTTTTTTAATTGAAAATTCGAAGTAGTAGATGAGCATGAAAAAAATAATGATAGGTGTATCACACTATGTATCAAATGTATATCCATGAATAACCGTGTGTGAGATACATGTTTGATACATGTGTCGCAAAAGAATTTTTGAACTCGATTTTAATGACGAATTTTGATACCAAATCACCTCCAATCTTCCTTAGATTTTATATATTGACTCATCTATATGTTTTCAATGAATCTCAACCATACCCATCAAAAAGATCTTTTTTTGCTTAGATTTTTGAAATCTTGTACATATATAGTTTTTGGGCCAAATAGGTGTACGACCCCTTAAATTTGGCTCCAATTTCCATTTTGATACTTTAACTTAGCGTTTTTCCTATTGAACACTTTAATATTATATAAAGTGATCTATTGAACACTTTACTCATAACCAGTAAAAACAATAAGGTGTGTGTAATTCACAAATGAATGACTTAGCAAAAATGACAAATAAGAGAGAGACACGTGGCATTTGGGCCCAAATAGTCAAAAAGAAGTTTTGAAAACAAAAAAGATTTATTCTAAACACCCCATCCCACCGCCATCTTCTTCCCAACCACCCCCTTTCTTTTTTCATTTCATGGAATCCCACCACCCTAAGTACATCATTGTCCAGTACCCCAGCAAGCGTTGGGGGTAGCTTTCGGATATCAGTTTCATGGGCCTCTTGAGCCTTTGATTATTTACTACTTCAGTGAAGCTTAGATCTGTTAAAAATGAGGTGTCATCTGACATTCACTGCCTACCTGAAATAGGTTATTTTGACCAGAGGGACGCTAATATTATACTGGACTCAACTGTGTTCAAACCTATCTGCCCGCAGCTGAAATCAGTAATTCTTAGGCAGTATTAGGAAGATTAGTTGCTGAAATTATGTATACCTGATGACGAAGTTTAATTGGATTCATAGTTGGATGTTGCATCGGAAGTTGAATCCACAAAAGGTGTGTATTAAAAGGCCAAGTACATCTAAGCTTCATGGGCTTCTTGAGGATTCTTTACCTTCTTGAAGTATTTACACGCATTCTTTGATGCATAATTCTGTCCATACCTTTCGCTGATATATGATTGAATGTCTTTGGCAGCTTCATCTGAAATGTGCAACCCATCTGTTCTGGTCTTCCATCGTTGTGGTATCAGAGATTCGTTCGTGTTCTGTCTATTACTGATTTCGTGGTTGGTGTGTAAATGTTAAAACCTTGATAAAATTTATTCCTGCAATAAAATTTATTAATTCCGGCAATAAAATTTATTGTCGTTCTTCTTCTGCTTTTAAAAAAGTCAATTTTGATTTAAACAAAAAAAAATATTATCTCAAACCCATTAAATTCACGCATATAAGAGGGGGTGAAATACAGCTCTCTTGCCATGTCAGCTTTTGTGTTTAATAGGCATACATTGATTTAGGTTGAAGTGTTCAATAGGTAATGGGCTTAGTTAAGGTGTCAAAATGGAAACTGGAGCCAAGTTTAAGGGGTCGTACACCTATTTGGCCTTTTTTGTATTTCATTACCTTATTTGCTACCTCATCCATGAAATTTCTTTTCCGTCTTGCATCTAATGTTGCTAATCACGCCTAAACATATGGAAGGAGATCTTTGCGTGTGATTCTTGGAGAGAAAAAACCTTATTTCTTTGGGTTTTTAATTTTTATATGTGCTTGGCTAGTTTTGATAAGTCTATGAATAATGGCTAGAGGTTGATAAGTTGGAACTTATTTGGGACATTTCTGTAAGATACCCTAAAATTTTTACCTTCCTAGCATTTATGTTTTTTAACCTTTTCTTTTTGTCTATAACTATCATTTCTTCGCGAGGAAAGAAGAAATAGAACCCATTATATGGCATTTGCCAATTCAGGGATCGTTTGATTTGCCTTCCTTAAACATTAATGCATGTATAGCTATGCATAAAATCCGGCATAACTTATTACAATATTTAGTTGGTGTTTTGGTCTCCGTATAAAATCTTGGACAACTTATACATTGATTGGTGGGTGTTTTGATTTCCGTATAAACTCTTGCACAATTTATACAATGTTTGAGTTAAGTTTTTTTATACCTATATAAAATAATACTTGTATTATATGCTGATGAGAAACTCTTTTTATGATTTTATGTGGGATAAAATGTGAAATAAGAATACGTGTATTAAATAATACACGAATTTAACTAATAAATGACAAAAATTACCCTTTCACTTTAGACTTAAATTCCTCTTCTTCTTCTTTTTTGTGTGTATGTAATACATGTATTAAGATTTGAGAGTTCGATTATATTGTATAGTGAGTTTTATATTGATACAATTCAATTGTTTTTTATTTGAACATATACTTCGATTTATGACATTGACAATTTNAATCCTAAAACTTTATGGTGTGTGTCTAAAATTGCTGATTAAGAATGTTTTACTCCTTTTTTTTTTATTAAATTCAAACCACGAAAATGAACTCTATAATGCATTCCCTATTGAACTTGAATTAGAGCACAAACTATGAACTATGAATACGAACTCTAATTCCTATTTCACTGGAACTCTAAAATATTTCATATTTCGGTATTAGTATTTGAGTGAAAATAATTTTCTTCATTCAATGGGATTTAGACTTAAAGGTCATCTGTAAATTCTTTAATGAATATTAGTTTTAAAGTGTGGTGCTGCAGAAAGAAGTTAGCAAAACTCAGTAACTTCTCAAAGTTAGTGTATTTTTCTTTGAAATCGAAATGAGACCGAAAACATGTGTTTTTTACTCTTTCTTTGACATCTTTTTGTGCATGCAATTGATAGGTTTTCATGAGTTTTAATTTTGTTGTCGAATTTTAGTTCATTTATTTACAAAAATATTTTCAGTGTTGTTGTCAAATCTTTTACCATGCATGGATACAATGTTGATAGATCAAAATCCTCCAAAATTTTATTTTATTTTCAAATAAGATAATTGCCCGTAGATCAGAATTGTAACATTAAATTCCTAATATAAATTTGTATGGAATTCTAATACCAATCAAGGTGTCCTACTCATTATTGAAATTCTAAAGCGCCCTATATATACCAATTTTACATAGATAAGAACATTTGGTGCCATCTTTTACCATTATATATATGTCTATTATAAAAGCATGAACACAGTATTGAGAGACTAAAATAGCCTTAAAATTTCGATAAACTTATCATAAATCAATTGGTTATATTGGTAAAAAACACACTAAACTAATTATGAAGTTTTAAATAAATACGGACACTAAATTTCTTAGGTAACAAGAAAATCATCGTTGGGTTATAACACTATATCAAATAGGTCCCAGTTTGCAATACTTCAAATTTGAAAAACGACGTAGTTTTCCAAAATAAAACTTTATATCCACTCCTAAATTTGATTAGTTTGAACTTTGAAGCCTCCAGATTCCATACCTCTCCATGACATCCACTTGCTCTAAGATTTTTTCTTCTTTTCACTANGTTATTATATTAACTTATAATTATCGATATTATTATAACTACAATCAGACATTAACTACAACTCTAATAAGTTGGTTATTAAATGTTGAGCGATTATTATATCCTTTGAAAGCTAATTTATTTCTTCCAAAAAATAATTTCATATTGGATAAAATGGTAATATTTGAGATTTTTCCTAATACCTAGGAATTTAAATTCAACTAAAATGGAATCTTAAGACTAAACCTATTTGGCTGATTTTTCGGAATTTAATTAGTCAACGACTTCTATTGTTCTTAAAAAGTCGGCCAATTCAAAGCAATTTAAAATAATAGTCGGACTAAAAGTTTCCTAATTCCAACACGAAATAATAATTAAATTATAAAATTTAAATACTTCATTAGTCTAGCTTAATTGCAGGTCTTGTGATAAATTTGAAAATATTATTTCGTCGGTTTCAATTTATGTAAACCTATTTGATTGGACACGAAATTTAAGAAAAAAGAGAAGATTTTTGAACTTGCGGAGTGAAATAAGACATATATAAATTGTGTGTGTATAAATCATTGCATAAAAATAAATTCTTTTTAAATATAAAAAAGAATTAATATTTTTGGCATGGACTAAAACGAAAGTAAGTTCTCATAAATTGAAACAGGAACATCAGTTTAACACCAAAAGCACAGAGCTCCACACGTGACGTGAGCAAGCTTGAGCCTTGGATATATATGGTTTTAGATTTTGAGTCAAACTTTGAGTCAGAGCTTTCAATTTTGAGTTACCCGAGAAAACCTATTAAGTATGTCATTATATGTAAATATATACTCCCTCCATTCCAATTTACGTAAACCCGTTTGATTGGGCACAAAATTTAAGAAAAAATAAAAAACTTTTGAAATTTATGGTCCTAAACAAGTTAAAAAGGGGCTCAGAATATTTGTGTGTTTATAAAAGTTTCTCATCAAGGGTAGAATTATAAGTTTAAACTAAATTGTTTTCAAATTTAGAAAGATGTCATTCTTTTTGGAACAAACCAAAAAAGAAATAGGTTCACATAAACTGGAACAGAGAGTAGTTTTTGTTGTGCAGCAGAGTTCATGTATAGTATAATTGTGTAAACGTTTTCATTTTTTATAACAAACGACCCCTCAGCGTATCTCCGAACCAAACGACCCCTCAGCGTTTTCATTTTTTGATAACAAACGTCAGGTTAATGCTTTCCTCCGTTTATCAAAGTAGCCAGCGACCTAACATTATATTGCGACATTCAAACATGGGATCCTTCTTACATCCAAATTTGTTTAAAATATAGACCATCAAATCATAAGCCAAGACTCATCTAATGGCTTGACAGATTGAGTGAAAGATGACTAGTCCATGCGCAATCAAGATGGAAGAGGATAAGAAGAAACCAGACAAAAAGATTGAACTTGAGAAACTATGAACTGTATACAATAAAGAAAGGTAAACTATCACAATTGGACATCCCCAAAGGCCAGACGTTTTAGTGTATCACTGCACACATCCCTGGAGGAGGAAAAGAGAAGGAAAGAAACGAAGCACACACTCGTCTCTTTCTTTAGTTAACACTTGAAGTAAGACGTACAAATTTACAGGTAAAAAAAAGCTACGATTTTCTCTTTCTCAGTCTTCCCATATCAAAATCCATAAGCCTTGTTGATGACGACATAGGAGAAGTTGCTGACAGACCAATGGATTCAGGAATATCCAGATCAACTCTCATAGAAGGGCCTGATATTGCTCGTTTAATATCAATCTCGCTCAGCTGATGGGCTTCAGTTTTTACTTTGGCAATCTGAGTCATGTCAGATAAGTAAATAAGTAATACCTTAAGCTGTCACATTCACAGCCCATTTAATCAGATAAGTTAAGTTTCAGAATAAAAAGTGTAGAAGCTTTTACCAGTTCAATGTGGTGACAGGACGAACAAGCATCAGCAATTCTTTTTTGTAGATCTTCTACTTTCTTTGTTTGGTAATCAAGATTCTCCACTTCATTCCCTTTCTCACCCAGTTGCTGGTATAGAGCTGCACAAGAAAAAAGTAAAAATCAACCAACTAAAATTACATAAAGGCACCAAGAGAAGGGATTTAAGAGATTTTTGCCTTAAATCCAAATAATGTCCTGCAAGAAACTTGTACTAGCAAACTGCACTCTCTGTAGCCACATCTAACAACATCATCCTACCCTCGAAAAGATGAGTGATGTACCACAGTGCAATTATATTAGTGAATCTCAGGCCAAATTATTCTTGCAATATATTTTTGCAGAAAACAGCAGGACTTGCACGATTTCTTTGACTTTGAATGACTTCTGGAGTACTCCATCCTTTATTGGCATCCAGAATAATATCCAATTCATTGTGGACTCTTACCATAATACAAGAAAACTATATGGGTTTACTTTCGCTTTTCGCTGTACAACTTTTCCTTTTCTATTCCTACAAAGATGAAGAAAAATATGTTTCTCTCATCTGATAATAAACAACAATTTTAACCAATACCAAGTCAAAGGACAATTTACTATTGGTGTATATTAGTGTAGTTTAGTTGCGGTAAGAAGAAGATGCTCCAGAAATGTGCCTTTGTGTTTGATAGCTTTACAAATTTAGACCGAAAGAAATACTCGATTACTTCATATTATACAACGTCTATGACATAACATGACCATTTATTCATTATCAGACTGGAGGCCGAGTTGGGTAGCTAACATACGACTAAGTCCACTGAGTATGCAATCTTGAAATCGAATGGGAGGGGATGAAATTACAAACAGGGCATACCTAAATTCATTCAATATATAAGTACTAATATGTGAAGTGCCTTACGTTTCTTCAAATTTTTTGTTGTATCAATATCCTTCAATAACAACAACAACAACAACACTATGCCTCAGTTCCAAACAAGTTGGGATCGGCTATATGAATCCTTGCTGATCGGGTTTCTCTATTTAAATTTATCTCAGGCCAATAATACACACAACATGAATAAAAATAAAAAGTTCTAGAAATTCTCTATATTTTCTACTGGCATACAAATATATAACAAGACTGAAAACCCCTAGCAAGCATAGGACCTAAAGTAAGTGTATTAACACGACTAAAGCATATTCCTAACTAACCGGTAACGCCTATATATATCTTTTTCTTCTATTATGTCACATCTATCACTAAGTTTACTTGGATTCCAAGAGATTGTAGGTTTTTCGAGACAGCTTTGAGATAACTTCCTTCCATGAAGTTTTAGGTCTACCTCGTCCCTTTTTAATACCTTCATTTTACCATGATCTCATACTTACAAACCAATGCATGACTAAACCATCTTAAATGTGTACTACTTGCACCTTCTGAAAAATGTGGCCATTTTTTAACCTTGTCTAATCATGTATGACAATACATCCATCCTAACATCCGCATCTTCACAATACTCATTTAGAGAATGTGTTGGACTTTAGCCGATAACATTCACTTCCACACAAAATTTCTGGCCTTATAGTTGTTTTATAGAACTTAACTTTAATATGCATCATTTTATCACATAACACTCCAATAGCACTTCTCCAGTTTAACCATTCAACTTTGATTCTATGTGTAACATTGTCCTCTATCGTTCGGTTCTCTTGGAACGAGCCTATATATCTGAATTGTTTACCGTTAGGCATCTCAATCCAATCTAGTCTCACCTCTAAACTAGCAATGCATATATTCAGTCTTATTTCTGCTTATCCTAAGAACCATACTCTGTACAATGCTTTTCCATAGTTCAAGCTTTTGGTTGACACCTTCACCGGTTTCGTCAATAGCATAATATCATCTGTACATGGCATACACTATTGGAACCCATCCTGTATAATGTTGGTTAGCTCATTCATAATTTGCGAGAAAAAGTACGGGCTCGATGCGGATCCCAAATGTAAACCCATGGTTATGGAGCACTCCTTCGTATCTCCTACTACGTTCTCATGCTAATGACTACTCTTTCATACAATGTCGTTTATGACATTTATATATTTAATATGAATTGCTTTCTTCTCCAACATCCACCAAACAACCTTTCTTAGTACTCTATTGTATCCTCTACTAGGTCGATCAATACCGTTATGTAAATCTTCTTGCTCTCATAATAATCCTCCATCAATATTCTTATCAAGAATATAGCCATCATTGTAAATCTACCGGGCATAAATCCAAACCAGTTTTAGCCACCATTGTAAATCTACCGGGCATAAATCCAAACCAGTTTTCTATTACTCTTATAGTGCTCCCAAGTCTACGCTCTATCACTCTTCCCCAGAGTTTCGTGGTGTGACTCAATTTAATGCTACGATAGTTCGCACAACTTAGAACATCTCCTTTGTTTTTATAAATTGGAATAGGGGTAGCCTTTCTCCACTTATTGGGCATCCTACCATTTCTTAGTATAGCATTAAAGAGCTTGGGGTAAGCCATCCTACTCCAAGGCATTTCCAAACCTCTATGGAGTTACCATCTGGAGCACAGGCTTTGGTACTCATATTTCTCATGCCATCTTATACTTCTATCAACCTTATTCTACAAGTGTAGCTACAGTGTCTATCATGCACATATAGATCCAAAAGTTTATCCTTGTGGTTCAAGTCGAATAATTGATAAAAATAGCCTCTCCATCTCTCTGTGGTCTCATTATCTCATGTCAACACTTGTTGAGAATCTTTCTTTAGTAACTCTCTTAATAGCCTCCCCCTTATCGTGTCCATGGTTTTGATACAAGCTATCTAGGGCTTCCTCTTGAGCTATTTTAGTAGCCTTCTTAGCTCTCTTATACTCTTCAAAAACTTATCAATCTTCTGTTTCTGGTAAGCTCTTATAGCACTCTCCTTTACCTCTAATAACTCTTTGCGCATCCTAATTCCAGCGCTAGGATTCTCGTGGCCAAGGTTCCTAATCATTAGCCGCATCAAACACTTCATTTGCTACATTTTGATGCAACTTGGCAATTTCTTCCACAGGATGTCCGCCTCCCCCCTCAAAGTTTCATGCTCCATCCTCCTGTGGTTTTCTTGAAAAACTAACTAGTTAGCACGCTTGAATGCACACCATCAAATTCTCAGTTGTTTGCAGGCCGTCTCCTTTCTCACTCTACTCATATGCTTTACATACAAAACCACCAACTTATGTTGGGTGGTCATCATTTTTCCTGGTATAGCCTTATAATCCATACATGTTGTTCTATCACGTCTTCTAGTAGGATAAAATCTATTTGATTATTATTACCCCCACCGAATCAGTTCGGGTTCATGCCGGGTCGTTCTACTACGGAAGCTATCCACCTAATTAGGAGGTTGGTGGAACAGTACAGAGATAGGAAGAGGGACTTGCACATGGTGTTTATTGACCTAGAGAAGGCGTATGACAAGGTCCCTAGGGACGTTCTTTGGAGATGTCTGGAAGTGAAAGGTGTACTAGTAGCTTATATTAGGGCGATTAAAGATATGTATGATGGAGCTAAGACTCTGGTTAGGACTGTGGGAGGTGACTCAGAGCCTTTTCCGGTGGTTATGGGGTTACACCAAGGATCTGCGCTCAATCCGTTCTTATTTGCCCTGGCGATGGACGCACTGACACACCATATTCAAGGGAGGTGCCTTGGTGTATGCTGTTCGCGGATGATATAGTTCTGATTGATGAAACGCGATGCGACGTTAACGAGAGAATGGAGGTATGGAGGCAGGCCCTGGAGTCTAAAGGTTTAAAGTTGAGTAGGACCAAGACGGAATATTTGGAGTGTAAGTTCAGGGACGTGTCGGGGGAAGCGGATGTGGAAGTGAGGCTTGACTCACAAGTCATCCCTAAGAGAGAGTTTCAAGTACCTAGGGTCTACTATCCTGGGAGATGGGGAGATCGACGTGTCACGCACCGTATCGGGGTGGGGTGGATGAAATGGAGGTTAACGTCTGGAGTCCTGTGTGACAAGAATGTGCCACCGAAACTTAAAAGTAAGTTCTACAGAGCGGTGGTTAGACCGGCCATGTTGTATGGGGCTGAGTGTTGGCCAGTCAAGATTTCACATACCCAGAAGATGAAAGTAGCAGAAATGAAGATGTTGAGATAGATGTGCGGGCACACTAGGATGGATAAGATTAGGAATGAGGATACTCGGGAGAGGGTCGGCGTGGCTCTCGTGGATGACAAGATGCGGGAAGCGAGGCTTAGATGGTCCGGGTACGTGCGGAGGAGGAGCCTAGATGCTCCGGTTAGGAGGTGTGAGCGGTTGGCTCTGGCAGGTACAAGAAGAGGTAGAGGGCGGCCTAAAAAGTATTGGAGCGAGGTGATCAGGCAGGACATGGCGCGACTTCAGATTTCCGAGGTCATGGCCCTTGATAGGAAGGTGTGAAGGTCGAGCATTAGGGTTGTAGGTTAGGGGGTAGTCGAGCGTTTCTCCTCGCTGCGCCGGCTAGTCTGATAGTGTTTTGTCTAGGGCTGCTAGCGGTTTTTATTGTGTTTCACATTTTTTTCTGTCTTTCACATTTTGGCCTTTCCATTTATTTGTTGTATTTTACGATGCTGATACTATTTTTCTGGTTTCTGTTGTTACGGATCTATTGTCTCTGAGTCGAGGGTCTCCCAGAAACAGCCTCTCTATCCCTTCGGGGTAGGGGTAAGGTATGCATGCACTCTACCCTCCCCAGACCCCACTAGTGGGATTCTACTGGGTTGTTGTATTATTACCCCCACTCTCAAATATTATCAGGTGACAATCAAGATACCCTTTGATTAATATTTATTTCAATTAGGAAACAAAAAAGAATATTTTTCTATCACCTTGAGGTATCAATTAAAGGGGAAATTCATGAAGCATGCACAATTTCTCCACCANGGGGAGGGATAGCAAGAGCCCTCGACTAGGAATGGCAATGGGGTAGGACAAGAGATTACTAGTGCAAGGCAAGTGAACTACAACCAAAATTTTAAATGGGACATAGTAGGAAACGTGCCGATTCGAGTATAGATTAAAATTACACAAGCTTCAGATAAATAAATTTTAATCAG